CCCCGTGCCAGCTGCTGGCCCCGCCCACCCCGCCTCTCCCCGTGCCAGCTGCTGGCCCCGCCCACCCCGCCTCTCCCCGTGCCAGCTGCTGGCCCGGTCCTCCCTGAGCTCCTGCCTGGGGCTGAGTCTGGATCTGCTGCTGAGAGAGGAGCGCCGGCGCCAGCTGCAGCAGCGAGGGAGGACGCCTGGGGCCCAAGAGCTGCCCGCCTCGCAGCTGCAGCGCAGGGTGAGGGCCCCGGCGGGGCGCGGCTGCCCCGGAGCTCTGGTCAGCTCTGAGCGCCTGTCCCGCCCAGGTGCCCCTGCTGCCCGAGAGGCGGCCCCAGGACCCACTCTCCAAGCTGGGGGGCTTCTTTCCCGCGACGGTCAGCTCCTGCGAGGTGAGAGCCCCTCCCATCACTGAGGCCCCATTTTCGCTCGTTGAGAAGTTGTGTCTGACCCACAAGGCAGGCCACACCCTGTACCCCGGCCGGGCCAGCGCTCCCGGCAGACCTCCGGCCCCCCAAGTGAAGGGGCGGGGGCGGGGCCCCGGACTGTGGGCAGCTCGCTCCCCTGCCTTGAGGGAGCAGAGTGGAGGAGCTGGCCTTTCCTGAGTGGCCCTGCTCTGGACTGGCCTGGGCCTGTGGGGACATCCGGCGGCCACCCAGCCTGCCCTCCTTTTGCCGTGGCTACCTCCCCCTTTCTGGTTTCTAAAGGTTGCCAGGGCGGCGGGCGGCGGGTCGCCAGCCCTGCCGTCCCGAGGGAGAGCAGGTGGGGGCCAGGCTGGGTGGGCCAGGCGCCTGCCCACCCAGCCCTGCTCCCCACAGCGCCCCCGGCTGCCCATCCACTTCCCCAGCTACGTGCCCAACTCAGTGGTGCTGCAGCGGCTGTGGCCGTGGAGCGAGGTCAGCGGCCTCGGAGCCCTCCCCGAGCTGGTGGACCGCCCAAAGAGCAAGGCACAGGCAGGTGGGGCAGGCCCGGCCGGGGCTGGCGGGTCCTGGGGCTGCGAGTGCTCACCGCCTTCTCTGCAGAGGGGCCGCAGGGAGGACAGCCTGTGGCTGCTGGGGCGCAGGCGCCACCGGAGGTGGCAGCCGAGGCCCATCCCCGGGGACCAGGAGCCGGCGTGGGACGCGCAGTATCTCCCCTGGTCCTCGGGCTCCGTGAGCCCCCGCAGCCAGCTCTCCGACCTGCTGGAGTCCAGGGAGCCAGAGACCCCAGTAGGGCAGGCTGCCCGCGAGGGGCTGGGCGGGGGGTGGGGGCGCAGGGCGGCCGCCGCTCCCCGGTGCGCCTCCCCCCGCAGCCCTCCGCGGAAGAGCCCCACGGCCCGCAGGACATAGTGGCCGCGCAGACCAGCTTCCCGCCCAGGCACCTGCTCTGGGAAGACCGCTATGAGCAACTACCCCAGTTCCTGCATTTCTTCGTCATCCAGAACTGGTTTAAAAAGCTGTTTCCCTTCTTCACCCTTGAGGTTCGAGCCAGTCAGGCGCCCGCGAGGGGGTTGGGGGAGTTGGCAGTGCCCGGCCTCAGCACCCTGCCCCTGCAGATGTATCCTGAGGGGGCCACGACGGGGGGCCTGGCCTCGCTGTTCATGGACCTGCTGGCGGGCACCCCCTGGGCGGAGCGGGTGCACATCCTGTGGGCGCTGCTGCGGCTGCTGCCCGACCTGAGCCGCGAGTTGTGCGGCCGACTGCAGCAGCTCTACCTGCCGGCGTCCTACCTGGTGAAGGTGCTATGAGCACAGGGTGGGCAGGGTCGGGCAGGGTGAAGCCGCAGCAGCAAGGGAACCTCCAGGCCTGGCGCTAGGCTGCTCTCCCCTCTCAGAAGCTGCACCAGAAAGTGTCTGAAGCGG